GTAATTATTCGAGACAACACGATAATTATTATCTGATTAGGCAGTCAGGGCCTCCTCGTAGACTTCCGTCGAACGAAGCGGAACGCCAAAGTTGGATATGCTTCGTTCTTTATATTGGCTTGCGAAGATCGATCAGAATCATCCAATTGGCGTAAAAATCGTTCATTAATGTAACGCTGTTTTAGAGCACAGCTCCTAAGCACCCATTTCTGAGTTAAGCGGCGTCGGGGTAACGCGCGTTGCATTAAGGGCTGTTCCCCAAGATGACGTCACACGTGACGTCACGTGTGACGTCACGAGGGTAAATTTTTCCCGCTACATTTGGCGGTAAAGGTTTTTGCTAAGTTTGGCGCAAAATTTTTCCGCTAAATTTAGAGGAAAAATTTTACCCGTTTGACGTCACATTTACAATTTCAGATGAGGTTCATGTGACGTCACACGTCTATGCAGCGGGAAAATTTCCCGGCTAAGTTGAGCGGGAAATTTAGCGAAATTTTGACGCTAAGTGGGATGGGAATAGATGAAGAGGATGGGAGGGTACGGAGGGGGAGCAGCTGGCATACCCTCCCCTTCGTACCCTTTCTCCCTCCTCCTCAAGAGCTGCGCTCCAATTCGGCATTGCAGAGAATTGTAAACGTCTAATTTTTTTAACGCGTCTTTATTAAGGAGTATCGACTCCCGAGTGGGCTAGCGCCCACCAGATCGGAGTACGTGGAGAACTCAGTGATCCTGAGCTCAATCCCCAGCCCTGCCCGAAGAACACACTTCCAATGAAGTGAGTTCGGGGAGCACAATACGCTCGCTCCTGTAGACCGAGTGTGTAATCTCAATAGCAGTGTTCAAGGAGTAAAACTAATAGAAGAAATTAACGCTGCATAAAATTAGTATTATATTGATAGGAGTAATATTAGATGCGCACCTGTTTTCTGTCGGCAGGAAAGTAGTGCATTGTAGAAAAACAAGCGGCTAATCTACAGGGTGTCACAAAAGAAAATTTACACGGTCTTTTTTTACCGAAAAAATAAACTAGGCATCGCCGAACGCTCATTCTCTGCCCAAAGGTAGAGCTAGAGGCCACAACCAGGTGCCAAAGTTTCAGCCCGATCCGATAACTTAATCAAAAGTTATAAGTGATTTTCTGAAAGTTCAATGGGAAAATGGAGCCCATTTTTGCCTGTTTTCGGTTTCTGGTGTCATAGAGCACCATGTGTTCGAAAACTCCGTCGGCCGTTAATTTCCCATTGAAATTTTCAGAAAATCATTTATATCTTTTGATTAAGTTATCGGATCGGGCTGAAACTTCGGCATCTGGTTGTGACCTCTAGACCTTTGGGCGGAGAATGAGCGTTCGGCGATGCCTAGTTTATATTTGCGGTAAAAAAGACCGTGTAAATTTTCTTTCGTGACACCCTGTAGTTTCCCGCCTTGGCCCCTGCGCGACGGCCAGGAGGCACCTGCAAGACTCCACCAGGAATCAGAAGGTGGCAGGAGAGACGCGAAAGGCTTGCTTGTAATGGAACTCGCTCAAGTGGGGCAAGGTGTCTTCGAACCACCGTTCGTTCCTCTGGAAAGTCCACCGTTCTCGACTGATCACGGGCAGGTTGTCGGTCATGAGAGCGGCTATGGTGAAGGCATTGGCCTGCAGCTGATGATCGATGTCACTTCAAATTCTTGCCTGTGCGCCGGCATCCAGGTCCAACTGCCTCCCATCCGAAAGGCGTTGGGCTCTCACAGAGATAAGTGCCCGAATCACGCGCTTCCACTGTCCAACATCGCGGATATCGCCCTCCAGCTCGTCCTCCACACACTCCATGATGTTTCGTTGTGGCGAGTGGCCAAGTGGGCTCGCGCACATCAGCTCGGAGCACACGGAGCGAAAGATCGCGCTGCAGAACCAAGGAATCCTGGGTTCAATCCCTACTTCTGCTCGTTTCGATCTATACTTCGTTTCATCTTATGTTGTACCTCAGACAAGGCTAGAAGCGCGAGCTCATAGCGTTGGGGGCTTAATGCACGAGAGCTTGTGCCGCCGAGATGTGCCCTGAGCAAGGAGCTCGCACTTGTAGCCTTTCCTGCGGTACATTATAAGGTGAAACTAGGGTGCCTTCATGTGCGCTTTGCTTAGGGTGGAGACATCTGGCCATTTTGTTCCCACTTTTACATTTATTTTTTGTTCAGAAGCGCGTGAAAGAGAGAGTCCCTGCACGCGTCTGTGGCGCTGACTGTGCTATGGCGACAATTTGTTTTCGTCGATTTCTTTGTATTTTCCCCGTGAGCGCATGCTGTCGGCATCGGGTACTACAAAGGGCGGGATCACTCTAAACAGAAGGTCATTGAGGCACCCTAGGTTAGGGTGCCTCAATGACCTTCTGTTTAAAGTGATGCCACCCTTTGTAGTACCCGATGCCGACAGCATGCGCACACGGGCAAAATACAAAGAAATCGACGAAAACAAAAAGTCGCCATAGCACAGTCAGCGCCACAGACGCGTGCAGGGACACTCTCTTTCACGCGCTACTGAACAAAAATAAATGTGAAAGTGGTAACAAAATTGCCAGATGTCTCCACCCTAAGCAAAGCGCAAATGAAGGCACCCTACCCTAGGTGAAACAGAGTATAGATGAGCATTGTACCGGCGTGCGGACGTGTATCACTGGCTTGTAATGGCTGATCGTAATGATCAAGTTGGATTTAAATTTAGAATAAAGCTCGTGACCTAGCGCAACAATGTGTGGTAAAGTGTTTCTAATAAGACGACGAAGTTATTTATGAAAAAATACGTATGCACTGTAATGTTTTGCGTGCCCATTACTTACCCATCGTCATTGCCATCATTATGGAGTGACACTAAGTTTTCCCGTGTAGCACCAGCACACTTTGAGTGTGTTTCGACGGGTTGAAGGGCACTCGTTTGTAGTGACACTAAACTAGCCCGTCTGACAGGGGTATAAACCTATCTTCCCTTCACCCTTTAGCAGAGACTATAAACCTCCGCCTTCAGCGCGAGCTTTCTGCCCTTGCTAACACAAGTGTGAACGCGCAGCCACGCGCAACCAAAGCACTGCGGAAGTCAGCGAGTTCGCGCTGAAGGCGGAGTTTCAAGTCTCAGTTTAAGTGTGAATGAAGAATGTCTTGACAATGTTTTATCTAGATACTATTTTAGTTGCAACTAACCGACTTTCCCTGGACCAACTCAACCAAGGCATTACACAGATTGCTGTTAATGTTTTCTACAATCTAGTGTCTTAAAAAAATTCGATCGAATAGGCATCAGTCAGTTTAAAAAAGAAAACGAAAAAAAAAGACCTATCTTTAGTTTTCAAATAGCATCGGTGACAGCTGTCTCTTTTGCCTAACAATTTGATGCTAAAAATAAATGCATAAATATCTCCTTGTACGTAAGAAGCGTCAATATAAAAAAAGCGTTATTGTGCCTCAAAATTGTTTATTTTTTATGTTTCTTTTATGGAACCTGGACGTTCCGCGCCTGTTTTAATTGGAACGAGCGTCGTACCGGAGCGCTTTCGTGTATCTCTTCAGCGGGATGCATGTTAAACACTTCAGACTGGATGTCTTACTGCACTGCCTACATTTATGATGTTAGCGGACATATGTGACGCCCTTCGGGGCAAACTGGCCTTCCCCAATGTGCCAGTTAACTTTTTCGCAACAACTTACAGCGAAAAAAAAGGTGCTCCTTTTTTTTCGCCGGCGAACTGCAGCCTGTACGTCCTGAGGAGTACACTGACATTTTAAGAGCATGGTCTTCGAAAAAAAAGGGTAATTAACCTACTGAAGGTGGATAGCATCTGAGTGGTATAGCTTTCAGCAGGCGCGCTAGACACGAAGCAAAAGACGCACTAAAAATGATCGGAAGTAAAAAAAAGTAAAAAAAAATACGAGCACGGTGGTAGACCCTAAAACTGGGTTAGAACAAAGTTACAGCACAAAGAAATACAAAAACCAAGTGAGAAAGACAGCGTCAATAACTCGGCTCAAAATTAGGGGAAAGAAAGATTTGCAGGCACAGTGCAATATTTGTGAGACCCAACAAAAGAAAATTAATCTTATGAAGCAAAAAAAAAAAAAAATGGCGTTTCTATAATTGAGTTTCCATACTATTATCTGTTTAAACGATTACTAAAGGAAGATACGAAAATGAAGGACGTAAATATTCTGAGACACAAAACTAAAAATGGGGATGATAGCCCTTATCTTTATTTGTACCTTTTCAGTGTCTGCTGGGTGCTTAGCTGAACTTTAAAAACTATGTGCATCGCTATCAAAGACACCGTCTTGATCGGGCAAGGAAGGCCTCTTTATGAAGCAGCATGTTACCTGTCGTGCCTCTCACATCAGTGTGCGATATTATGTTGAGTCATACGTCGCTATGCAATATGTTAAGCAATGTTAAGGGCAAAGATGGGCCCGCTTGAGATTTAGATATAGTTTTTGAACCGGTTATTTTTGGCCATAAATAATGTTCAAACAGTAATTTCTTTACACCATGCCAAAATATTTTTGTATCAAATACCTATAATATCTCTCAGAATACTATCAAGTAGTAGTACTAAAAAACGTTCTTTTCTTAGGGGATGGGGGTAGGGGAAGGAGTTCATGGCAGCCCTAGACTCACAGTATAGGGGTGGGGGGCTGGATATATGTATTTCTAAGCCAGTTGTGAATAAAACCTACAAACGTGCGCACAGTTTTGCTTTATACATAGGGAAGTCCGGGGTAAAGATCCATTCCGCCATGTAAGTCACCCGTTCATCGTGCACTTCTTTCGTGTTGTCTGAAGGCCCTTGCACCCCCCCCCCCCCCCCCCCCCATTTTAGGTTATCTATATACTTACCGCATTTTGGGGGTCCATGCACGAGCTGCATGTCGGTGGTGTCAACAGTATTTATCCGCGGTGCTCTCCTGTTTGGTGTGTTGGCGGTATTGGTTCTAAGATCAAGGGCCCTCCATTCTGCAGGTTTCTTGTGGTCGTCGGGCGATATCCTGACTGGATACCTTAACCCTTTGAAGATGAGATCCATCTTCATATCCGGATTTTCCGACACTTTGGATTGGAGGCCCCTGTACTTCCAAGAGTCCTCCGTTGAGAACATTGTATGCTCCCTGTGTGGCCTGGTTTCGAGAAATGTTGTCAGATTGCGCTGTGAGCACACACCCTGCCCGGAATGTCACGAGGAGTCCCAGAGGCGAGGGAGTACTTGTCCACTGGATGAAGAATCCTTCGCCGACGATAACATTCTTCACCTTGATATCTCGGGAGGTTACATCCTGAACCATACGGTAAGTAAATCTAAATAAAGAAGCTGCAGAAATTATAGATATGTTGTTGGAGCTTTACAAGCCCTTCAACACTTGAATATTTTTCTCTTTTTTTATATCCAGGACTCCGTGTTTTCGGATTTTATTTATCGTGAAATTTGGAGGGTGTTTTTCGGACTTTCTTTATTGCCGAATATTCGGAATTTATCGAAGATTATTTTTGTTGGATTCCCAATTTTCTGAAGTAGGTAGCATATATATGCTATGTTCCTAAATTTTAAAAATTGAAAATAAAAATATATATGGCTGGCAGGTATAACTCTGCCATAGATTTATAAAAAGGCACGTGTACCACGCGACATTGGCGCCCTTGCCATTAGTAGTACTACCATAAAATCATTAGAAATAGCCCACCTAAAATTGAGAGAAAATTGGGAGTAGATAAGGAGTGGACTAACTTTCGGTGTGCAATCAAGAAACATTTCAAAAGCTTTATAAGTATATAATATGTTTCTGCCAAACTTGTTATCGCGGCAAGGGGGAATGAAGCAAAGATTACTGTACTTCCCAGTCAACAATGTCATATTGAGATAAATGAACTCCTTGACGCAGTCCTTGGAAAGCTTGTTTTCTCTTCATCCTTTTCTACCGCTTCTCCCTGCGGCTGCGGTGGGTGGAGTGGTGAAAGAGAAGCCTCAGCTGTCCCTCTTATGAAATCTAAAGGCTCGTTCACACAGTTGCGTCGACTGCGTTGCGCTGCGTTGCGCCGTGCAGCACAGCGCTTCTCGATTGGATCGTCGTAAGTTTCGCCGTAGCAGCAGCTCAACGCCAAAAGACGTAAAAAGACGCAAATGGTGGCGGTCGCACTCCGACTCAACTGTGTGGATGAGCCTTACGAGTTTATGACTTTCACGGTTGTCAAATCACAACTCTTCCTTCCTTTAAGAAGTTCAATCTGTAAACCAAAGTAGTGGTTTCTATCGTGGCCCAGAATTAAAATGTCCGTCGCCTCTCCTGATGACCGCTGAACATGTGCTGCGGCCAAACTTTCTCGTAGAAAACTGAACTTTTTTTTGTTGTTGGCCATGGTTTTCTTGAATTTTTTGAATAAATTTATATTCAAGAAAGTTTTACCGGCGAGTTTTTTATTTTTGTTTCTGGATTTTTTCGGATATATTCGAAAACACGCCACGCTCTCTATAGCGCACTCATATTTAATTAAAAAAATGCATGTTAATCATTTATTTATTTTCTAAAAAAATATGTTTACATATATTTTCCTAATCGTTTCAAATAATCAATGTGAACAACTCGCATGTTTTTGGAGATTTGCCTCCGGTCTCCAACTCGGATATTCGCTTGTTGTGCCGTCTTTTGGTTTTCAGGTTATAATTATATAAGGGCTGAACATTTCTTTCGTTTTTTTTTTTTTTTTTCACAGGTAGCCTGCGTCAATGCACCCAATGGTTGCGACTTCATAGGTCATGCTTCCAGACTCGTGGATCACTACAAGCAGTGCTCGTTTCACGTCGTGCCTTGCCCCAGGTGCGAATCAGCAGTGCTAAGGACTGAGCTCGTGGGTCACTGTAAAGACGGCTGCAGTTCTGCGTCCACTACACCCGTGCCCATTCCGTATTATATGAACGTGAATTATGATCATTTAGAAATTACAAGCAGTGAACGGAAAAGAGAGATGCTCAAGATATCCCAGGATCTCTCTCGTCTTCAGACTAGCCTCAACCAGTGGCTTGAGGAAGTCCGAACGTTGGAGAAAAACACACACAAGGATCTGAAGGACGAAATGTTCAAGATCTCTGACCATCTCTCCGGTCTGCACACTAGTGTAGAAAAGTGCAGGGAAGATGCGAGAGAAGCGGCCAGAAACACCAAAGAGCAGTTGGAAGCTCAATCCTCGAGACTTTCCGAGCAGTTGGTCAGAATCGAAACTCAAGGTTTTGCTGCAGCAAACAAAGAACTGAAAATTGCCATTGAAGACACAATGAAGACGCACATTGCTCAGGAGTTACGTGTACAATACGAAGAACTCATGAATGTTACGAAGAGTGTATCTAAATGCGTGCTTGAATTTGGCGGAGCCAAGGAATTTCACTGGTACTTTAAAGGCTGGGAAGACTTCAAAAAGAGATCATTAGACAAAATGTATGCCTTCACTGACAGCCCCTTAAAGTATGTATGTGGCTATAATGTGTGCATCCGTATTCGGTTGGAACTATTTCCGTACTGCAAGTATTTAGCGATGGGTATGTGTATCCATCCAGGTGTCAACGATTCAAAGCTCGGATGGCCTTTCAGCAAGACTTGCACGCTCGGTGTCATTCATCCCAAGGACAATGCGAAAAAAGAGATTCATGTAGTCGATGCAAGTGAATATGCGAAGAGCTGGTGCTTTCAGATGCCAAAACAAGGCAGTAATCTTTGCATTGGAGGACGGCCCCTCAGAACCATTAACGAGCTCGAAACGGAAGGGTTTGTTAATGACGATTCACTTCACTGTTTCTTCCAAATTGAGCCGTAATGTTCTTTTCCGGTAGGTTAATAATTTATTATCGAGAGGAGCAAAAAATGTTCTGCTGCCTGGAAAAAACCGCTTACTTGATCCCATTAAATATAAAACGGATGGAACCGACTCTTTCTCCTCGTTGTTAAAAAAAATAATAAAAAAAAAAACAACGAAAAACGCGTTTTGAGGACACGACACACTCCTTTCGGTGTATTTACCTGCAGGAAACAGGAATTTCGTCTGTGCGGACTGTAACTAACACTGATCATCTCATTGCAGCTACGAATATAACATAAAAAATTGAACTTCTCTTCACGACAGGCTGCCACAGTAAGCCGGCATCTAAACGAAGCCCCAGCGTGTATATTATTGCATATTGCATATTAACATAAAACTCCGCTCTATCTTAGATTTTTTTTTTTTTAAATATGCACTTTCCTTAGTGAGGGCGAGGAATGCCGCAACTGCCATATTAGGATGTAACTCTCTCTAAATCTGTATTAAACTTGTCAAAAATCTACGGCGTGCACCAATTCAACGGATTCTGCTACTTTGGCGGGCAACAAGCCTCGCATCGAACACTGCGCTGCCTACGTCACATATATTACGAAATTCGTTGTTTTTCTTGTTTTATGCTGAGCTCGGTACTTCATTAAAAGGAACATTTGCGAGTGCGCGGGTGGCGGATATCCCCCTCTAGGCCGTCTGCTACGTAGATTTCGACGTAGCACCCGGTATCTCCCCTCTCTCTAGATAACATTCTTTAAGGCAGGGGTCGGCAAACGTTTGCAGTTGCGGGGCGAGGCGTCACGAAACCGACACGGATTGAGCTGGAAGGGAAGTCGCAAGAGTGAAAGGGAAAGGGAGAGGCAAACGAGTAAAGAAAAAGAAAAAAAAGAACAAAAACACTGGGCCGAATTCGCATTAACGACTGTCCCAAGAATTTCGATGAACCCGCAGAGCTCGACCCCTTGAACGCTGCAATCTTGATAGAGCAGTGACCCCTTGGGTAACTATAACCGCGAATAGAATTCTCGAAACATTCCAGAGCGCGCACTGGCGGTCTCGTTGCGCGCTCATGTCGCGGCGCTCTAGTGTCTGGAGCGCTAAAGCCCCTCGATGTGTTTGCGCTTGTCTTGCAAGTAGCGTCAAATGCGCGAGTGCACGAAGCCCATGTCTCGAGCGGACCTTGGAAGCAAATGGCGGCGCAGCACTGAAATGAGCGGGCCTTGGAAGCGAATGGCGGCGGAGCACCCGCTCCTCGCACGTGTCTCGCGCGCTTCCACAACAATGGTTGGCGGTACTTGTAAAAAACGCTTTCATCAAGGGGCTTTATCGAGCGCTCCTGTCGGCGCTGTCGTGTTGTGCGCTCTTGAGCTGCACAGCAATGTAAAACATGTGGCAAAAAGTTTATTGCAAGCGCGGCGCCCGACTGGTGTCCATGCGTGCGTGCACCTGGAGAGTGCGCGTGAACGAAGCTTTTGGCAAGCTTGATATTGCACGCACTTGCCCGCACGAGCAGAGGCATGGCGGCTTCCAGATGCCTTGTTTGCAATAGTCTATAGGCGTTTTCAAGAAGCTGTGCATGGGCTCCGCCATGACCGACCTTCAGTTTGCGTCCTCTCATTTCGTTCACTTCACTTCATCGTTACCACAACAGGATAGGTTATTTCCATTTTATATTCCATTGTGTCCTACTGCCCAGCATTGTCCTCTCTGGAGGCTTGTCTACGTCCTTTTTACTGGCTCGGTATAGACAAACGAGGATAAGCAATGGCGGCTGTAATCTTGCGCGTGTTTAGAGCGTCTATACTTAAACTATTTTTTCTAACATAGCAGGCGCATGTCGGCAGTGAATGATGATTAGTCCATTATACTCGTACTTCGTTTCAGCGTAAGTTGAGACGCGACCGACGCGACGTGCTAATGGGACCAATAGATCAACCTCAAAAGCACAGGTCACCATAAAAGTTTCGGTTCATAGTTGGTTCAGCGATAGTAGAACACGTTCAGAAATAAGAGGTGGTGCTCTTTTGGCGCTCTCAGATTGGTCCCATCAGCTCGTAGCGTCGGCAGCGTCTGGACTTAAAGTGAAACGAGGTGTAGTCCGCAGCCAACCGTCGGCGCACGCAGCCGATTCCCGACGAGGCGTAGCTTTCCCCGTGGAATCACGACATTACGGGAGTGAATCATGACGCAGTAAGGGGTAGCGGAGCGGGCGTATGGCGTCAGTGCTACAGACAAAAGTAAATTGATAGATCAAAGAACGCGATAAACCTCCTCTCTTTCCGATTACTTTAGTTTCCAAATGAGCGGCTTCTAAGAATCCAAGTGTGCTTAGAATTCAGGCCCTTGCACACACCCACTAAAGAAGCAAAACTCACGAAAACTTCCCATTAAAACATTTCTGTGGCACACGCTACCCCAAGAAATGTAAACTTCTCTCGATAATTCCGATATACCGGCAGAGCACAAAAGTGTATGGTCAATGGAGCGTTTTCGAAATTACCCAAAGCTCTCCAAAATCAAGCATGGCAAATCGCAACGCGGCCATAATACACGGATGACAATTTTTGTATTTCCCTGGTTTATAAGAACGATCAAGGGAAGCGTGATTTTTTGTTTGCAAAGCAAAAACGTGTAGTGGCAAAAAAAAAAAAGAAAAAAAAAAAGCGAACAGACAGAAGTAACGAGGGAGATATATCAGAAGTATCAATCGCATCATCCGACTTTTTTTGTTTTTGTCATATCTCCGGTCTCAAACAAAACTACAAGAACGGTGCCAGGGCAACATCACCCAAAAGATAGCGACCGCTTCGAGTGTTTTTCACTTTGCAGTAAGGGGCGGTACGCGTCAGTCTTATCTCAACTCCTGGCTTTGCAGGTCCCCAAATCGCACGTATATGGTACGTCTGTAGACGCATACGGCATTCCACGTTTTTATGTCTTTAACAAAGTGTTCGCGTGAAACTGTCCCAATCTTCGGTCTATAAGTCGGACCGTTGTAAAAGCGGCACCCCTTTGTATGATCAGCAGAGTCGCTTCAGCCGCGGACTTATGCTGCAACCCTTCGAAGCGCCTTCGGACCGCCAAAAGAGTGGGCACTTGGTGGGGGCTCTGCCGTTCCTATTTTTTGTAAATGTTGACAAAGCCTGCACCTTGCACAGATAAATGCCGTACTTACAACCACAAAAGATACACGTATGATTTGTACGGTTGTATACAACGCAGTAACCAATTTTTGACAAAAAAAAAAAAAGAGTCTTATACACTTGACATAATGGTCCACATATGCGAACATTGCAAAAACCGGTAGATTTCGATCAGTATATGAGATATGTCCTGTGGAAAGATGTAAACATGTACGAATTAAACGTGTTTCCTGAGAAGTTGCCACATTGTGGCAACAAATATCGGCTAGCCTTTTGTCGCCTGATGTTTCCCAATAGTAGAGCCACATTCTGCCTCACAGCATGGCGAACTCGGAAACAATGTCCGATACTAGCAAAACTTGTTGTTGGGCGAGTTGGCTCATGAAACTGAGTAAACATGTATGCGCAAAACGAGGGCGAACACAAATGCATTCGTCTTTGTCCCCTCCGTCGTGTTCTTCCTTTGTGTTCGAGCATACAAGGTTACTCATTTCGCTATGGGTTGGTTAGTTCCTTTCGGGGGGTCTTCTCCAGTCGATTCAAATAGGGAAGCATGTGTGACATGATTAACCAAAAAGAAAAAGCCAAACCAGCTTGCGAAAAAGAAAGAAACACGACGCGCTTTTTTGGGCTTGGTGCACAGAAAATGTGTACTCCATCAGCATCAAATGCGGAGCTGAGTACATAGGGAAAACCAGCCGATGTATAAATTACCGCTTTCGTGAACACACAAATGAAGCCACTCCAAGAACTGATAACTCCATTCTTCCGATAGCGGTTCACGCCACCGAATGCCTTGGATGCGCGCCTGACTTCGCGGGAACCCAGACAAAAGGGGGACACCGCAATCGGTTTGGACGTGAGATAATCAAAACCTTTCTCGTCGAGAACGCAGAAAACAACGTTTTATCGGCTTCGGTAACCTTACCAAGACGCGATATAAAATTCCTCAGGCCTAAAATTGAAAAAAAAAAAGTGAAAGCCGTTTACAACTCCATGTAAAGGCCCGTTCACACTCTTGCGACCGACTTCGACCGAGAGAGACCAGACCGGTTTTTAAGCCTTTTGCGACTTCTTAGGACCGGATGCGATGCAGCGGAGCTGGTCCTAAGAAGTCGCAAGAGGCTTAAAAACCGGTTTGGTCTCTCTCGGTCTAACTCGGTCGCAAGAGTGTGAACGGGCCTTAAAGCCGAATTGGAGCGCAGCTCTTGAGGAGGAGGAGTGAAGGGTACTGAGGGGAGGGTAGACCCCTCCTCCTCCTCCTCCCCTCATTCTTTAATATGCTCCCGGGGGGGTCACGTGACCTCGGAGGGGGGAGTGTCACGTGACTTCGGGGAGGGGGGGGGTCACGTGACCTCGGGGAGGCGTGACCGGGGGGGTCACGTGACCTTGGGGTGACCTTGGGTGGTCACGCGACCTTGGGGTGTCACGTGGGGGTCACGTGCCCTTGAGGTGACATTGGGAGGGGTCACATGACCTCAGGGGGTCACGTGACCTCAGGGGGTCACGTGACCTTGGGGTCACGTGACCTTCAGTGGGTCACGTGGGGGTTACGTGACCTAGAGGTGACCTTGGGAGGGGTCACGTGACCTTGAGATGACCTTGGTTTCGCCGACGGCGACGGCGACGCCGACGGCGACGCCGCTCAAGCCGGGAACGGGCGCCTAAGAGCTGCGCTCTAAAAAATATTCTTGCTTTGTATTTTTATTCAGCCGTTGGTCATCGGCTAAGAGACCGATGACCAACGGGTCATCGGTCTCTTAGCCGCAGATTATAAATTTAGCAAGTGCAGTACAACCGCTAACCTGAGCTTTTTAACGTGCATCACGCCGTAGTGATTACACGAACGCGTGCCAGTACAAAATCCAACTTGAAAAATATCGCAACTCCCCGTAAAAACTAGATCGTTACTGTAGTTCCGCCCG